ATAAACCGACTTGATAACGTCCACAATTTCCCAAGTATCTCTCTGTCTCTCCAGAGTATTAAATCAGACCTCAAACTCGGCGCAAGAAAATACTCTCTCTTTCCTGCCTCTTCAGCCCTCTATATTCAAAGTTCATCTTCTCCGCTCTCTTCCTCCCACTCTCTGTCTTTCCTGCGTTGCCAAAAAGCAGCGACAATGAATTACGAGGTGAAACAACGTGGACTTTTTGCAAAGCTACACACATACATGCACACACATGTACACATATGCACTGAAAGTAAGGGAGCACAATGTGGAACGGATTGTTTTGAGCAACGAAAAAGAGTATAGCAGTTGGAGCGTCGTACAAGCAGTGCAAGCCAAGATGCATATTCGAGACGTTGGGATACAAGTTTCGCTGCTCCCGCGCAACGAACTCCCCCCCATAAACTTACATTGCCGCATGTGTATGACTTCACAAATGCAGAGTAATATAGGCACGTGTGTGTATGTAGCATAGCGTACTCAAGCAATAACGGACTTAAATATGGTGCGATATTTTTTCTTTCACTTCCGTTTCTTATTTATGTATAATCGTGTTCACGTAATAACATCAAATGTGTTTTCTTACGGAGCGTTTTTTCATGTCTTGTCAAGACGCCTCATTCGGAAGTTTATGGTACGAGCGATGATGCGACAAAAAAAAATAGAATAGCGACTTGACAGGTTTGCAAGCTTTAGTATTTTTAACTGTGTATGTTTTTCGAGTGGACAAGATATTGTTCAATGTGCAGTTCTATTTTAATATAATCTTAGTCGCAAAATTGTGTACGTCACAACCTAATATCATCAAAAATAAAATATAGTGGAAAAAAAAGTATAATAAGAATTTATCGGTTTTGGACATCTACATCGAGTACTTTCGATAAAATATGAAGACCAATACGTATATTTTCCAGTTCGATATCTTCGCCTACTCGCTCTTCTCGCGGGGGGTGAAAGAAAGAAAATGGGAAAAACGAGAAAGCTGAACCTAAGAAGCGAACAAAAAGTTTGACTCTCCTTTTTTTCTCTTTTTCCACCCGCAGCCGAGCCTCATACATGATAAACATCTCTAGAATCCATGTGGTATATATATAGCCCCGCGCATATACCGGAGATGCACGCGCAGTATAACATGTGCAGAGCGAGGCAATATAACGACTGCATCTACTTATGATTTGCCTCAATGGCAAAAGCTTCTCTGAGCAACAGCAACTCCCAGCTCATGTGCGCTATCTCATAAATGCATGTGTGCGAGGCGCATACGTTGAAGCGAGCAAGAGAGAGAGAGAGAGAGAGAGAGAGAGAAAGGATGTATGAAAAATATGCACGAGCTAGCGAAAAATTCGAGAAAAGCTGCAGACGAAAGATACGCTCAGCGCGAGTATGGGTGTCCGCGCACGCTCGCTCTATTCACCACACTGAGTCAAATCGAATCTCGTCGTGTACGACGAGCACATACACATGAAGAAAGTGAGCGCAAAGAAGCCTGCGGGGTTCTCGCGCTCACGAGAGAGAGAGAGAGAAAAGGAGGAAAACGACCAACGACGAAAAGAGAGTGAAAGAAAAAAGAGTTGAGAAAACGAGTTTAAGTTAGTTTGTAAGTCATGCAAGTATATATAAGGGAAGAAGAAGAAGAGAAGGTGTATATGCGCTCACCGCCCGCACATGCAGCACGTGTAACAAGATGAACGCCAAGGGTTTGTAAGTACTTGCTCTGTCTCGCAGCCCAGGGCTGATTTTCTTCTTTTTTTTTTCTCTCGTTTTTCTCTCGGCTCGCGACTCACAAAAAATGAGGAAGCTGCATCAGTAGCAGCCACGGAAGATTTTTTCGGTGCGTTTAAATTAGAAACATTTTTTTTGTTTTGACTATGATCGTTTACAAAAGAATCGCGGTAATCTCATTGGCTTCCATAGCTTTCAAACAAACGCTCGGACCATCTCTGCCATGGTATTTTTTTATTTTATTTTATTTTATTTTATTTTATTTATTTTTTTTTTGCTGCATTAGAAGAAAAATCAGTCTATCAATCGTTGAAGAGTAAACAAGAAACAACAACTACAACGGCTTCCTAATTGCAATAACTCTGGCAATACACAACATCGATATATTTATATAGCGAAGTAAGCTCCACTATAAACGAATAAAGAATAAAAGCTACAAACACACACGTACACATACACTCACACACATTGAGCAAGAACACATTCGTCGTCGTCGACGTCGAGTCAAAACAAGCAACGAGGGCATAAAACAAAAGTCCGTCAAAAGGACCTGACGAGATCTTTTATATATTACGACGAGGATACGCGCTCGAGCTTGGTATACGTGTGTATGTGTGTCTGTGCACATGCAGTAAAGTCTCTACAGGATGAAAACGAACGCGAGGAAAGAGAAGCAGCAGTATCAGCAGTAACTGTACGAGCTAGAGTATAAAGAGAGAGAGAGAGAGAGAGAAGCAGAAATCCTCTCGCACCTTGGTAACGAGGCGAGCTAGCGTGGGTAAGGCGATTTTGATAAGACGCAGCGAATTTCTGTTCTCTCTCTCTCTCATTCTCTTTCTCTCTGTTTCTGCATTAGTACTTTCTTCTACTTCGTCTAGTTATAACTACGCACCGCACGTGCACATTTCTGATTTATCTTTTCGTAAATTCTCCTCAAACGTATACACGTAAAAGTGAAATTTAATCGTTGCAAAATTCGAGTCGATAATTACGCCAACTTACGAGACGCGTACGCAGGGCAATTCGAGAGGACTTGCGATGCCGTTGGAGCTCGGAGTGATGCGGATCTCAAGAGGGAAAAGATAATTTTACGTAGCAATGAAAGCGTATAACACACATTGTTTATCTCTTTTCTTTGAAGATCTCTTCTGCTTTTTGTTTCTACGGCTGCTTGCGTACTCGAAGAGTAAATTTCTAATATAATGCTCACGAGACGTGAGCCCAGGTTCTCGTTCTCTCTCTCTCTCTCTCTCTATGTCTCTGTCGCTCTCGTCGTTCTCATCGCTTCCTGCCTAGGCTTTTGTCCGTTTTCCTAGGGAAGATGAAGGGATGCTAAGGACGAGAGAGAGATAGAGACTTGCGTAAAGGCTATTGTCGAATAAAAGCTAAGGACGATGAGTTCTAACTCTCTTGCTTTGTGTGTGTATACTCTTTACATTGAAATGCTCTTTGCCATGTCAAATAAAGCTGTGTGGAAGGTAAATTTCATGTTTCAAATTTATATTTATGAGGCCCCCACCGGTCTAGATGATTTCATTCGCGCAAATTTACGTAAATATATGCGTCTACGTTATGTCTCCTTTGGTCATATTAATAGAACGATTGTACTATGTACAGCCGGCGCTTGTGAATTTTTCACAACGGTCAAATTTTCTACGCTTATAAAACGTTGAGTTTAATAACAAAGCTCGAATAAAAAAAGGTTGCAAATATTAGACGCGATCAATCACGGGGGGCGATGTTCGAGTTTGACACGTGCAGGCGAGCGCCCGAGCAAACGAAGATGCATCTTTTGTCCCGAGTATATGGACGCGAAGATTGATTCTGATAAATGCTTATTCATATGTGCTATGTGCGCGTTATATACGCGCGTAATCGGTTAAAATGAAGAGGCGGACAAAAAAGCACTCAAAACTTAAATTCATCTTTTTTTCTCCCCATATATATGTCATATCATTCGCGGGCAGATGGATTGAGTATATACATATAATAGGTCGGTTGACCGCATAAATCTCGATCAGAGAAGAGCTAGAGAGAGAGATAGATTCTCGTGGAAGCTCCAATCGAAATCGATAAAATGCACATCGCGTACTCCTCGACAAATTTGTCCGATTGCGGATGCTACTGCTGCTGGAGCGAAGCGCGAGACAGAGGAGAGACTTGCTTCCATACTACTATCTGCCTTTCACTCGTTAGTGACAAATTGAACCAATGACACGTATAGAGCTTGATGCGCCGCTTTCCTAGCTCTATATATAGCGTCTCTAACAAAACTGCGCGCATTACTTCGAAAATCAATCGATACACCCGGTAGTTCGCCAGTGCTCGCGAGCGAAAGCCCGTGATATAGACTTTTAGCTGTTATGGGATTATGCGCGCAACACAGAGAGATATTTCGAGTGCGTTTTTTCATTCTTATTCTCGCTTATTTTCTTTTTTCGCGTTCGCGAAATTTTCGGTGCTCCGCGCGTGTGTCAGGTGCGATTTGAAAAATCGCTCATTGTTCTAGGGCATAGACGACGACAGGCGACAGGTGTAGACGGCAAATAGACGATTTCTCGCGAGCTACTGCTGCTGCTACTGCTGTTACTGTGGAAGGTCGCCAGCTTTTGAAATAACGCGGTGACGGCAGCGGCGAGCCGAGTGGAGTGTCGCGGCTTTCAAACGGAGTATAAAGACAGCTGCGACTTTTATACACACACACACACACACTCGTACGTATGCATTCTGGGCAGTGCAGCATACCGGCGGCGCGCGGCTTGATTTTCTTTCCTATATACTATTCACACTCGAGAAACGCGAACTTTTATCTCTCTACTCGCGAATAAAATTTTGACTCGTATTATATATATTCTGCGTTAAAGCATGCAAATTCACGGCACGTAAGATTTTTTTTAATAGCTCGTAAAAAAATAAAGTTACGTGTATTCGCATACGTATATATAATACGTATAAAGAGAGAGAAAGACAGACAGGAGAGGCAAAAAATTACGAGTAGTTGAAAAACATCGGCACACGAGATGGTTATACAAAGTTGCCCTGCGTGCAAGTTTGTTTTTCCCCGACGAGGATAAAAATCGAGAAAAAAATTGCGCTCCGTACATTGAAAGCTTTTGCGCGTAAAAAAAAAATTAAAATCGTCACGGGCCATTGAACCCCTCACAGACCGAAATGTAATATTTTTTCAACTGTGCGGCGTATACCTGTAGTTATTATTATTATTTTTTATTAATTCTTAAATCTCAAAATTTTACCTGAAGTATCCAACCAATCTTGCGTAGTGAATATAATTGTCACTCGGATCAACGTTGCCATACACTTTGCACTGCACCCAACACACACACAACAATAATCTGAACAATACACAACTACACCACCACCGCACACATCAACACGCGTGTTAAGAAACCGGAGGTAAAAAAAAATCTCGTGAGTTACATCACGAGGCAAGCAGCTTTTGAATAGGTACTTGGCTTTATGCGTAAGAAGAGGCACATGTAGTGCAACACGTCTGCTGTTGCTGCTGCGCGCGGCCACACACACACACACGCGCGCGCGCGAGCACACAGACACAAACGAGAATGCACTCAACGACACATTAGTGCACTATAAGCGCGTGTATATATAACTGCTTCGCAAGAGATACAAAAAAAAAAGAAGAAAAAAGGGAGTAAGAGTGCGAAATCACGGTGTGCGCATGTAAGACAGCAGGTGACTGAAGATAGAAATGCCGGCTAAGGGGACATTGTCACTGACGCACATATGCACCGCATCGCACACGCATTATATACAACGTACATACATGTGTACGCGGGCGCGCGCGCGTTAAAAAAAGATATAAACCAAGCTGATCCGCCGCTCGCTACCGACTAAGACGTATTTCGAACTTTTCAAGCTCTCTCTCGCACTTGCGCTTCGCGTAGACGCCCACCACCTGTGCTTAAATGTACTACTACTGCCGTGCCGCTGCTATACGGCACTGTGCGCGCGAGCCTCCTGTATGCCGCTCTCTCGCACTCTTTGCCGCTGTTACGTCGCACACGGCTCGTCGTCGTCGTCGTCGTCGTCGCGAGCGGCGAACATTTCGACTTGTGTAAGAGACTAAAATGTGCACCGTCTTTTTTTAGAACTTTTCTCTCTCTCTCTCTCTCCCTCGTTCGTTCGCCGCGTTCTTCTCTTTCTGCTGCTGCTGCTGCTGCTGCTGCTGCTACTGGTGTGATACACTCCTTCTTAGTACAAACCTTGTACCTTCTCACTGCTTTTTCTTCTTCACGAATCCATACACATCTTTTTTTCTCGCTACTATTTGTTTTGATTGCTAGGCTATATATATACAGATATAGCAGCGGCGGAGCAGTAGCATCCGTACAAGTTATACGATATAAATTTACATATGTGGTTCGTTCAACTCGACCCCGCTTGGGAGATTTTTTTCTGACATATTACGCAAAGGCTCGTACAGTGTACCGCGTGAGTGTATTATTTTAGGAGAGGTATGGAGCTTTTATGAATTGGCGATTACCGTGTGTTCGACTAAATATATCTATATGTACATTTTTCTTCTTCTGTCTTTTTTTTTCACATTTTTAAATGTGTAACCAACTCGTCGCGCGTATCAAATTACTGCTCTCGGTCCAAATAATTCGACAATTCGGATGATTTGAGTTTTCGCATCGCTGTAAATCGTTTTCAATCGAATAAATAATAATATTGTATACATTTATGAAACGATTATTCATATTTAACGGACAGGTCTAATTATAGCGTGGCATTAATTACGGCTCTCTAACGACAATACATAACTCTTTCCACGTGAAAACTCGTAATATTGAAAAGTTCACACGCAGATATTTTACATGCTGGCTCAAACGAAAATTATGAATTTTTTTAAATATTCATAATAATAATTAAATATTAAGTATTAGGATTACTCATACTGAAACACTGTTTAAAAAAAATCTTATCAAATCTTATTAAATTTATATTTTGCGTTAATTAAATAAAAATTTTTTGAAAATTCAATCATATTTAAGACCAACCTCTACCACTAGATGGCGAGTACCCATATCTTAAAATGCGCAAGTGGTAAAGCAAAAATAATTGTATATGCAAAAACGTTTCATTTCGGTTAATCATCAGTCTTTTTTAAGTAGTTTTTACCAGAGTATTGTCGAACATACCCGAATTTATCGAGCCGACCAACCGTTTTTTCGGGTACTCGCATTCATTAATTTTCTTATTTAAATTATCATTTTACATTTTAAATGTAGAAAATTAAAACTAAATACATGAGCTGGATTTAAAAGTGAAGAAAAATATTTCTTCTCATACATGAGTCTACTTTCATGAAAAAGAATGAAAAATAATATAATATTGAATTAAATTCAAAGAATTTAATATTCAATTTAATGTCAAATTCATGTAAAACGTTTAAAGAAAAAAATTTCTAAATTTAATTCAAATCATATATTTTAATTGTTTTAGATGAAATTGAATCTACTTACGTTAAAAAAAACTACCTTTACTTTTACGTTCATTTTGATAAAATATTTTTTCAGGACAAAACTAACTGCAGTATAACAATTTATCAGTCCATTGTTAAAGAATAACATATATATTTGAAACAAATTAATATTTAGAAGACTAAAGTATTAGAAATTTTTGGGATATTTCAAAACACAATAAAAAACTTGTTGAAAATCAAGGCTAAAACGTATTTGTTACCCTCCTATCTTTCAATAATAAATTCCAACTCACCATTTTACATACCAAACGACAAGGAATCATATAAGTTTCCCTTTTTTCTTAGCTTGCAAGCACGCGACAATGAACGACGAGAGAAAAAAAAGAAAGAAAGTGGCAACAATCGATACCATGACACGAAGTCTTTAATCAAAGAAAATAAAAAAAATCTTCTGCAATGACTACCGAGACGTACATGCATACATGTCTCTGACTAGAATGAAAAAGCGAGCAGTATAGCAGGATATAGCAGAGATAGAAATTCAACGAGATCAATCTTCTCTACAAGGGATGAAGATACATTCTATGCATAAGTTTGATGAATCCTAAAATATGCAAATTGAATAAATAAAGTAGAAAGAGAGCGATGCGAAAAATGTGTCTTATGTGGAACTGAGAGCTTCTCGAGTTTTGGCAATGCACGAGCATAATCTTTCAATGGGAGCATGCGAGTGCACAGTTGAAAAATCATACACGCCGTGCGCGTTATTTCGAGCAAAAGAGAGATAGAAAAGAGAGAGAGAGACGCACACACATGCGCGCAGGTATTGTCTCGGGAACGCATTGGCAGGCAACCAGCATGAGACACATATTCGAGTGGGAACTTTAGTATAGAACGGGGCGCGCGTATATATCAAAGGCTTCGTCTCGGGCAAGAGATCGTGGTATATCGCGTTTAATGACTTTGATTATTAAAATATACCTATATACGTGCCTCGTAATTGGCAAACGTGCAATGATACGTGGTGCGGCGACGGCGGCGTCGTCATCGAGCCGTGACGTTTTCTTTTGCGTATGAATTCCGTTTTATTTCGCCTCGCGTGACGAATATTTTCCGACTATAGATTTTCGTCATCCGTCGATAAATATAACAACGCGAGTGCACGTACGTATCAAGATTTTGAACTTTTTCCGGCATTTTATACAATCCCATGTGGAGACCGCGCGTACGGAAATATGTACAATCACGGCATATTACCGATGTGGCTTCAAGTTTCCCGCATTACACTTACTCGATTATCTATCCATTGGAATTTTGACGCAACCGTGTAATTTGAACATTGTAGCGAGCATATTCGAATTTAACTCCAATGTCCGCAAACCGAACCAAAGTCGTCACTGCGAGAATCATCATTACGTTTGCGGTCGGAGCAATTTTGCATTAGAAATGAAAATTATGAATTATTTTATACTCACTCTTATTCAATTGTGCATATCAGCGACTCACCTGTAACAAAATCAAGAATTCAAATATTAATGATAATTTATCAATGTGTATTTGCATAGGCATGTCTGCTTATGTGTGTATAAAGTAGTGAAAAAAAAACAAACATTTTTCTTTAGCACTTTGTTTCCAAGTTAATTACTTTTACCCCAGTACACGGCGATTGCTTACTCAAGTCAGTACACGGGGATTTATTTTCGTCTATATAGACGTACACAGTTTCATTATGCAACAGCAGCAGCAGCAGTAGTGGCGTTAGCAGCAGGCCTGACGCTCGCGCGCAAAAATATTTTCTCAAGTCTTGAAAGAATAAACACGAGACGAACGAGCGAGAGTTAATCCTTAGCACTAATATACGTAATACACATCGAACTTTATATACTTTCATACGCTTTATTTAGAAAATGCACTCAAGCCGTCAGCGAAGGCGTAGCGAGCCCGCAGTTCAAGATACATATGCACGACTCTGGAAACATCATTACCGTTTGTATTCTTCAAAGAGAGCAAATACATGGGGCCGTTATAGATGATTTTTTTCTCGTTGCATATATTTGACAAGTATTTCGCTCTCGGACTAATTTTCGTCTTCTAAAAAGCGAGCAAAAGCTCCGCAAAAAATATGCTCGAAACAAATGCAAAAACTGAAACCGACCGGCTGATGCAAGCGTGGGCATGATGGACAACTTTTGTCATTACTGGCACATTTTGGCGTCTATTCTCAGTTGTGCCCATCTGCTAGAATGAATAATCCCTGTCAGTTACGCAGAAAATGAATGGAATGCACATAATCATAACGTGTCACGCGCTTTAAAGGATCTAAAAGTAGAAATACGAAGGCCGGCGAAAAATTAAATTTTTGCTACTTTTGAACGGCTCATAATTATCCAGGGAGAGAGAGAAAATAAATTTTTATAATGGTATCTCTAAGAAAATACAATATTGGCTGAGATCGCAAGGGATATCACAAATGAAACATCCGGCTGTCGAATTTTTACTACGACACGCCCACGCGCCAAGTAATGTAAAAAAAACGAAAACAAAGGCATCCACCACCAATTAAGGAAATTGCGTCCACACATTTTTCTCTCTCGCTCTCTTTTCCTTTCTCTCTGTTAACCTTCTTGCTTTCGCGCACTAAGCGCCGCACAAAAAATCGATATCCACAAACTATACCAACGTCCAACGCTGTGCAGGAAAGACGAATATAACGACCGGACTTTTTCTGCTAACGCAGCCGTGCGATTTATCGCTTAACTCTGCGGGATAACTGAAAAGTCTTTACAAACTTTATAAAGAATGCCTTTTATATATAAATGTGTT